ACTGAGTGGCGGTCGCAACCCCCTTACCACGTTCAGTCGAAGGGTCGTGGACAAGCTTCGACCGCCTTTCTGAGCGCGGTGGTACGACCTCCTCCTCCTCTTCTTCCTCGTCCTCGACGTCATCTTCATCACCGTCATCATCATCGTCGTCATCATCATCCTCTGCAACATCCGAGTCCCATTCCTCCTCTTCCTGGCTCTCGCCCCCGCTCGCCTCGCCCTCCTCAGTCGAAGCTTGTGCCCCATTGGGCATCGAGTACAGCTCGGTGAGGGCCTAGCAGATGTCCAGACAAGGATCAGTCGACCAGTTGGCAGGGTAAACAGAAATAAATGCGACAAAAGCACAGTGGAGAGCAGGGCAAGTGTACCTTGTTTGGGTCGCTGTTGTGGTCGAGTGGAGGAATCCGTCTGGCTCCGCGTGGGTTATCCTTATTTTCGGTAACGGCTACCATCCACCTTTCCAGAGTGACGTCGTCGACTGCTTCTGGATGGACTCTAGTCTCGTCTTCGGTCCCACAGTACAACCACATGCAGTGGCTCCGGAACTGAAGGGGCTGGATGCGACGCCTGAGGAAGACCTCCAGGAGGTCCATGCCCGTCACTCCCTCCCGAACCAACTGCACCACGCGCTCCATCAACATCTTCACGTCAGCTTTCTCCTCCGGAATCAGCTTCAGAGGGGAGGGCTTGTTCACTCGGTCCATGGTAAATGGAGGGAGTCCACTCGACTGCCCCGGCGTCGACTGGACCTGGCAGTAGAACCAAGTCGACTGCCAGCCTCTGACGGACTCGGGAAAGGTCATGGGCGGGAAGGTGCTCTTATTACTCACCTGGATCCCCAGGCCCCCACACATTTGGACGACTCGGGTTCTCTCATCACCTGGGCTCGCCTTCTTCACGGTCTGAGAGCGACACGTGAATATATGTTTGAACAAACCCCAGTGCGGTCGATAGCCCAAGAAACCCTCACACATGGACACGAATGCAGCAAGATAGGCAATGGAGTTTGGGGTAAAGTGGTGAAGCTGCGCTCCGAAGAAATTCAAGAAGCCACGGAAGAAAATACTCGGCGGCAAGGAAAACCCACGATCAACATGAGTGGCCAAAAGCACACACTCACCCTCTTCTGGCTGAGGTTGCCACTCCTTCCCCGGAAGCCTCGCAGCTCCGTGAGGGATCAAGCCCTCGTTGGCCATGTCGAGGAGGTCCTTCTCTGTGATGGTCGACTGGATCCAGTCTCCTTGGACCCAGCCCTTCGGCAGACGGGATCTGGACGAGGACTCTCCGCGGCTGGTGGATCTCCCCTTCGCCTTCTCCGACGCCGACGCCTTCTTTGCGCGCTCCAGCGCCGCCATCTTCTCCTTGGCCATGGTCGCCGGCGAGATGCGCGAAGGGAAGTGGTGCGGGGGCGAGAGCGAGCACGCTGGGCGGAGAAGAAGGAAGCAGAGAGAGGGAGAGAATGCTGAGGCGCAGCACAGAAATCCTCGCCGGGCACATTTATAAGGTCTCTTCCGAGTGGATGACAGGTGGGCCCGTCGATCTAATCATATCTGGGAGCAGTTATGCAGACGGGATACGTGGCGAAAAAGGCGGCGCGGAGATCGAGGCGTCTATGCCCCGTCCCATCCGAACGCCGCGGTCTGCCCCGCTTCGCGCGCGTCCCCAAATTTCGCATCCCGCGGAATCCGCGAACAGCAAATCATTTTGTCAGACGCGGTGTTTCCGGCGATCCGTCGCTCGGAGATCGTCGAAGCCCGAAAGATCACTCGACGCAAAAATAGAATGGATCGAGTCGACTGAAGGCGAATTGCTCTCTGTCGACGAAGAGATCCTTTGGTCCAGGACAACGCACGACCAGGGCACAAAGGTTAATCGGAAAAGACATCAACTCCTTCCTCACTCGAAGCCTCAATCCATTCGGGGGCTAATGATGGGGTTATGTACCTAGGGTAGGGTCATGGACCTGATCTAAGTACCTTACCCAAGGACACCCTCAGAAGAAGTCGCCTTCCAGTCGACTAACGAGGGACACACTCGACTGACTTGAAGGACTCAACCACGAAGACTCACTCGACCACCAGAAGGTCAAGAGGCACTCTGCACTGCAACGGCTTGTAATCAAGTAGACTTTATGATAGTAAAGGCACTTTATGTGGGGCGTTACCAGTAACGCCCCAGACTTAACTCACCATAAACCCTCTCCTGCGTGGGCTGGCTGGGGTCCTGGCGCACTCTATATAAGCCACCCCCCTCCACAGGCAGAAGGGTTCGGCACCTTGTAACTCATATACTCATAATCCACTCGACCGCCTCCGGGCTCCGAGACGTAGGGTTGTTACTTCCTCCGAGAAGGGCCTGAACTCGTACATCCTTTGTGCTTACAACCTCTCCATAGCTAAGACCTTGCCTCTCAATACCTACCCCCCCCACTCTACTGTCAGGCTTAGAACCACGACACTTAGGCCCAAATATGGTGAAGCATCATGTAGTCGACGTTCATATGACACCACTAAGGGAATCATAACATACATACCATCAAAATATCGAACACATATCAAGTTCACATGATTACTTGCAACAAGATTTCTTTCGTGACCTCAAGAACAAAAGTAACTACTCACAAATGATAATCATGCTCAAGATCAGGGGGGTATTAAATAGCATAATGGATCTGAACATATAATCTTCCTCTAAATAAACCCTATAGTAATCAACTACAAGATGTAATCAATACTACTAGTCACCCACAAGCACCAATCTAAGGTTCCGGTACAAAGATTAAACACAAGAGATGAACTAGGGTTTGAGAGAAGATGGTGTTGTTTAAGATGTTGATGGAGATTTCCCTCCCCAAGATGGGAGAGTTGTTGGTGATGATGATGACGATGATTTCCCCCTCCGGGAGGGAAGTTCCCCCTGTGGAATCGCCCCGCCGGAGGGCAAAAGTGTTCCTGCCCAAGTTCCGCCTCGAGACGGCGGCGCTTCGTCCCGAATGTCCTCCCTTATTTTTTCTAGGTCAAAATGACTTATATACCAGAAGAGGGGCACCGGAGGTGGGCCGAGGAGGGCACAACCCACCAGGGCACGCCTAGGTGGCTTTGTGCCCACCTGGTGGGCCCCCTCTAATACTTATTTGCTCCAATAATTCTTATATATTCCATAAAAATTCTCCGTGAAGTTTCAGCTCTTCTGGAGTTGTGTAGAATAGGTAGCCTGACGTAGCTTTTTCAGGTCCAAAATTCCAGCTGTCGGTATTCTCCCTCTTTGTGCGAACCTTGCATATTATGAGAGAAAAGGCATTAGAATTACTCCAAAAAGCATTATTATACATAAAAACAATGTAAATAACAGTAGGTAAACATGATCCAAAATGGACGTATCAGTGAAGAGGTGTAGCGGGGATCGCCGAAGAAAGATGGACACGACGGAGCGGCGTGTCGTCGTGTTGGCCACGCGGGCATCGAACGACGGCGACGCAGAGCGGTCGGGGAGCTTGGGAGAGAGGGCTAGAGGACAAGGGCTAGAACAAAGAGTGAGGGGAAAGTGAGAGGGAGCCACAGGCGTCTCCAGACGTGGGGTCAGGGAGGAGGACGAGCCTCCAGCGCGAAGCAGGAGGTGGCCGCGGTGAGTGTGCGCGCGTCAACACGCCTCTGCCTACTGGCAGAGGTTGAAGACAGTGCCTGGTGGGCTGGGCTTCTGCTACATGAGCAGGCCAGATGAGTGGGCTGCCAGGTAGGCCTTCTCTGCTTTTCTCATTATATTTCTTTTTGTTTTGATTTAATTATTTTGCCATTGTTTGAAAAACAAAACAAAATTCAAACCAGTGCCAAAACTTTCTGTAAATATTTACGTGACTTAACTGGACCATTCCAAAAGCACATAAATATTTCAGAAACATTTGAAGATATATTCTGACTATATGAATATAAATTTAAATTCAAATACAATAGTGATTTAAATTCAAAGTCCAAAATATCTCATAAAAATGTTCATCATTTTTGGTTGGGCTCAAAACCTTTGCCAGAATATAACCAACATTATTTAAGGTCATTTTGAAATCATTGAATGCATTTTCATGGTTTTTACCCTTTATTTAATATTTGGAGGCTTCAAATTTCCTCATTTCAAATTTCACTGAAATTAAATATAATGCAAGATGCTCACTAATGCAACTATTCACACTAAAATTATTGTTGGCACGAAATGATTCTACGGATGTGACAGGATCGGTTCAGCTCACGAGGGCTTGCAAACTGCTGAATTGGTTTTGGTTGCATCATGGTTTATCTGGTGGCAGTAGAAGAAAGGAAGATCAGATGTGGAAGAAGCCATGTGGTGATGTTATCAAAATTAACATTGACGCACCTTTTAAATATGAGACACTCTCAGGAGTGACGGGTGCTGTTGCCCGCGATGGAAGGGGAAACTTCATTCCTGTAGCATCTTGGTTCCTTCCACACTCAAGTTGTGTTGACTCGACAGAGATTACCGCGATACGAAACGGTTTATACCTAGCAGGGAGAATTGGGTGCAACAAAGTCATTATAAAAACAGATTGCACGTTTGCCGCGGAGGCGGCGCAAAAAGCTGATGATTACGTGGGCTCGGACATAGCCACTGGTCTTGAATGCAAAGAGCTAGCACTGGACTTTGCAAATGTTTCATGTACCATTTCCTGCGGGAAGCAAATGAAGTTGCAAACGATCTTGTGAGGATTTCGTTTAGCGATAGATCTTCTAGTTTTTGGAACTCTACGTTCCCCGATTTTATTTCTCATGCCCTTGTAAATGACCTTGCGATTATTTGAGAAATAATGTTTTGATGTTTCAAAAAAAAAGACTTTCAACTTGAAATTGTGAGGGGACAGCCGAAACATATTTCTTGTTTGATTGACCACCCTGGTATTGAACACCAATTGAATCACCAATTTAAGCACTCACCCGTAAATAAAAGAATTAACGTTACTATGAAAGAAGAGCAGCATGACAAAAAGCGCGCCCCTATGCAAGGAGCGAGGCGTAGAGGATCTGGTTCCAGGTGTCGGGTAGGCCGGCAAGGCACCAGTGGCTGCAGTCGTTGCCCGGGTGGCCGCCGCTGTATGCCGACGGGTGCGCGTCCCTCCTCAGCTGCGACAGCAGCGTGATGTCCAGCAGGAACACCGGCTTCGACATGCCGTTCAACGCGTTCCGCACCGCGCCCTGCGCCGGAAGCGGCCCGCCCGGGTACGTCGACCCCGCGATCGGCTGCGTCTGGTGTGCGCAGCTGCTGGAGCTCTCCCCCCACTGAGCTCCACTGCGTAGTAGTACGTACGTAATTTTGAACAGGTCAGTGTTTTTAAACGTGGTACTACTCTATGCGGGAGCTGGGCTCTAGGGGTGTGGGCTTACTTGAAGTGTGTCGGAGAGATGCCCTGGAAGTAGACCTTGGTCTTGGAGGTGTCCACGTTCGAGTCCACCCATCTGGCCCATGTGGACATCCCCTTGGAGAAGGCCGTGAGCCGGTCCATGTCTTTCATGACGTGAGCCCCGTCTTGCACATAGTCCCATCTGGTTTCACGGAAGAGGAAATACAAATGCCGTCAACAAACACAAGAATGATCTTATGTACTACCAGTATATGCTTGCGCAAGAAAGTGTAGTGCGTCTTACGGTTGGTCCTTGCCGGTGTGGGTCCACCAGTGCCAAGTGTTGAAGACGAGCATGTCGGCGCCGAGCCACGCGTCGCCGGAGATGGAGTCGAGCTTCAGCACCCGGCCGATGGACTCGTCGACGATGTCCACCAGGTAGGTGCTCCGGTAGTACGCCACCGACAGCCCGTAGTCCTGCACGAGACGGCAAGCGCACGTCAGCCGCCAGCGCGTCCGGCACCAAACTTTTGATGGATCGCGCCGTGCACCTCGACGTACAATGTACACGTAATTACTCCTCCATGCACGGTCGCATGGGATCATCAACATGCACAAGTTTCCAAGCCTGTCGGCGCCGATACGGCGGACGCGGCCATAAAACCGGCAGGTACGCCGACGCATCTCCGCTTGTCTGCGTCCGCGGCTACGCTGTGCGTCGCACTGTCGCGCTCAATAACGATGAAACGGCAGGTGCGATGTCATCGACGCCGTAGCGAGCTGTGCCTGCGTTTGCCGGATAGGACCAGACGCGAGCTCGTGGACCATTGGTTTAGGACTCCTACATCAGTGATTCCTTTTCCAAATTGCCCGTGACCTTGCAGGTTAGTGAACTGCAAAGCGCCGCGATTGCCGATCGGGCGTGTGCTGTATATGTCAGCGGTCGCTCGTTATTCCCCGGCCCCGCGTCATTCGTTTTCTTGCCGGAAATTATGGGTTGGCGCTAGTTGCGCACAAGGGAGTGAGGGCAACCACAAGGCTAGGACCGGAAAGGCTAGCCAAGCTGGTGTGAGATTATTGCCCAGGAAACGACTGATTGAGTTGTCCTCATCATCTGGAGTGCTAAGTGCCGTCTAGTGGCAAGAACCGGCACCAAACATAATACTCCCTCCTTCCATCTATATAGGGTCTAATGCGTTTTTCGAGGCTAACTTTGACCAAATACTAGAGCAATAATATATGACATGTAACTTACACAAAGCACACAGTTAAATTCGTGTGTGAAAGAAGCTTTCGATGATATAATTTTCACATTGTGCATGTCATGTACTATTAGTTTTGTCAATAGTCAAAGGCGGTCTTAAAAAACGCATTAGGTCCTATATAGATGGAAGAAGGGAGTAGGTGTTTCAATGCACTGGACCATCTTTTCCATCGAATGGGGTAGTATATAGTATATTTTGTTAAGCTGCTGCAAGTAGTATCTATACCTGTATATAGTGTGTGAATTACTTTGAATGTTGTTCATTGAATGTGCTAATACGGCGACTCACGATACATAGATGGCAACAGTACTTCTGTTGGATATATTTTTGCGCGAAAAGTTTACGATCTGTTCATCAACCGTCAAGGGAGTACAGAAAACAGCAAAAGTATTGGATATTATCTTTCATCCCATCGAATTCTACCTCATAATTTAGAAGATTTCACAACAGAGCTTAAGCATAATGCGCAAACCTCAAGACACAAACATTTCTCCTTTGTTCTAGAATCTTTCATATTTTAATTTTTCAATCTTTTCTTTTTAAATGAATTAATGTTCTTTGTTTTCACTTTGTGCCTTACAACCCACAGTATTCACGAACCTTAAAACACATTAAAAATAGAATATTCTATACTTTCACTATTCAAACACACTTTAAGGACATTCACATGAAGCCATTAGACCACAAGGCTTTCTCAGAAGACATATAAGATATCGCACGAAACATCTCACTCAAGGATGTGGTCGTGAATTCCCATGAGGTTTGATCAGTGAATTGCATGCCGTCCTAGTCGAAGTCTACAGCTCGCGGACACCCTCACCACTTTCTCCACTTCATCATGCTTGTGATCACCCATAATTGTGCTGATCATATGAATGTAGGTCATCCTTCTACGGGTGTTAGCCCTCAGGTGAAAACAATTCATGTTCGCACCCGCCTGCTTGTGGTTGTTGATCTGCGTATGTGATCTTTCGTGAAGCACATGGGCCAATGAATCTCTGCTTCAAACGTTGCCGACCCATGCAACACTTGGCAAGAACTAAAACCCATTGTAACTATGACGAAAGACGGGTTATTTCCGGTGTTGTTGAACAGTGGCTTGTTGTGTGTACTTGCACGAGGTTTGGGTGATGTGCTATGACGGCTCGGGCTGCCAAATCGTGCTCCGAGTACCTCTAGTGTGATCCTCTTGTGGTGGTCGAAGGATCCTCTAGTGTGATTTT